GATATGCTGATGAAAAATGCCCCAGATCCAGCAGAAGCCTGGCAGGGCTGTCGACTCCTCACTGTCCCTGAAGCGTTCACAGCAGTTTTCCTGCCTTTGTCTCCTCCGGGGCCAGCCGGGCCTGGTCTGCTGGGCGCCAGTGCAGCAAGAGAAGGTCCTCACGAGGGAAGGCCATTTCCTCTGGGGGAGATGCCTCCACTTTCTGGCGTGGCCAGGGTCCTTGCCAGGTCACAGCTGAGTGTCGCCCCCCACCCCACCGGGCCCTGCACACCTGCTCCTCCCGCTGTGCCTACCCGGGAGGCTCCCATGGCCCATGGAGAGGGGGCAGCAGGGCACCCAGCACAGTGCAGGCAGAGACCCACTTGCAGGCTGAGGCCTGGGCCCTTCTGGAGAGCAGCCTGGGCCTTCGGAGACACTCAGGAGAGGCAGGCTTGAACCCGGAGCACAAACGAGCCAAGGGGCTGAACTGGAGCCAGCCCGTGGGACGCCTGCAGCTAGTCCGCTTGCTTCGTGGTGTCAGCCACCTGCTCGCCGCCCCTCGCTGCTCCAACAGGCCCAGCTCTCTCCAGCTGCTAGGGTGAAAACCAGACAGGGCCGATGTCGCAAGCACCTCAGTGGCCTGGGCGTCTGCTGCTCTGCCTGCCCCCTGGGCAGAGGAAGTCGGTACCAGGCTTCTCTGCAGCAAGGGCGAAGGTTGGGGGCTCCCAGCAGAGTACACAGACCCACTCCTGCTGGGGGTGGGTTTAGGAAAGGGGGAAGGAACACTCCCGGAAAAGAGGCTGCAGTGCGAGGGCTCTGCACTGCTGGGCTGCTCCCCACAGGGCTCCCATGGCACTCCCACAGTGCTCACCACAGTGCTCTCATGGCACTCCCACAATACTCCCATGGCATTCCCACAATGCTCCCCGCAGGGCTCCCATGGAACTTCCATAATGCTCCCTCCAGGGCTCCTCAAAACACTGCAGCCCACAACTGCTCCCATAGTGCTCCCTACAGTGCTCTCAGTGCTCTCACAGTGCTCCCATAGTGTTCCCCACAACACTGCAGCCCACAGCTGTTCCCCACAGTGCGAAGCATCCAGACACCGGGATGTTCACCAGAATCAGGAAGAAATCTACTATCATCCCTCACAAGACACGCAGTAAGCCCAGTGCAGACCACTCCTGGGAGAGTTCCGCGTGGAGGGGCTGTGCAGGCTTAACTCCAAACCTGGGACCCCCTGGACAGGCAGCCAGTAAACCACACACATGAAGTGGTGACCCTGTGCCAACTGCTCAGGACTTCCCCCGGGGACCCGGTCTGGGTGGGAGACAGGCTACTTCCCGGAACTCCGCGCAGCTCCCTGCGTGGGTCTGCACCACTGCGACTTCCGTGGGCTTTCGCACCCAGGAACCCTTCAGCCAGCACCGTCCTGAAGCTGTCAGGCCAGGCTCAAGGACAGCTCAGCTCCCTCAAAGGCTGAGGTCAGCGGGTGAGCCCAGACAATCCAACCCGGAGCACAGAGTAAGGGAACAGAGAAAGGGGCAGTGTCTGCCAGCTGGGGTGTGAATTGGTGGTCCCAGAGGCAGGATGTCTGCCCCTCCTCCAACAGCGAAGTGCCTCAGGTTACTCACAGGAGCAGGCCGGGCTCTGGCCCGTCCTGTCCCCATGGAGGACATGGACACTGACCATGACCCACCCCCACCAGCTGTCCAGTGTGCCTGTGTGGTGAAGTGTGCCCACACCCTGTGCCCAGCACAGAGGTCCAGGATGGGGCGAGGGGCCAAGGGATTTTCACTGCAGTGCTGGGCTTTTCCCACACCTGGGAAGGGACCTAGGGAAGGGCCCGTGACTGCAGGTCTTCCAGGGCTGTGGAGAAAGCAGCCTGTTTGGCTCGCTGGGAGGTGAGTGAGGGCTGAGCCAGTGGCTGGCCGACATGTCCTGAGGCCAGGTCTGTGAGTCCACTCAGCAGCACAGTCCAGCCAGTAGGTGGCTGAGAAGCCGCACCCCAGGCAGCACCTCGCATCAGGCTGAAGTCCGTGAAGTTTCCATCTCCATCGTCATCCAGAGTCGCCAAGCAGCTGTCAATATTTCTGCTGTGGGCGTGGCTCTGACAGGCAGCTGTGCACACCTGGTCTGGCTGTAGCATCAGGTGGGGGCCTGAAGGAGCCAGCAGCTCCACTGTTCAGAGACGAGGGCAAGGAGAGGTGCACAGAGAGTCTCGTGGGCACTGCCACCCCACTGGGCAGGACCTGAGGGCTGGCAGAGGCTGCCTGCACAAAGCTGCCCCTTGGCAGGAGCAGTGGTCACTAATACCTTGGATTCCCTTTATGCAGCTGACTCAATAGGGTTCTGAGATCCCTCTTCTTTTCACTGAATTTTCCCAAAAAATAAATAAATAAAGTTTGCTTGTAACATTAAGAAAGTTGTTTAGAATTTGGATCCTGCCAACACTCCAAATGGTCATCACCTAATGTCTAGTTTTCTCCTCCACCAAAGTGCTTTGAGTCAGTTCTCCCTCCCCACGCCTGACCCTGGAAGCCAGGCTATCCTCAGTAGCCAGGCTGTCTCCTGCTTGTCCCACAAAGCCACGGTCACACACGGATTTGTGTCTCTGACTCATTTCTCTACGTAGTCCCGGGACACGGAGACAGAGTCCCTCTTTCCGCTGAGCCTCCCCAGGGCTGCTTCCTCTTCCAGGGAATCTGTTAGTGGGGAAACTGCTCACTTTCCCGCGCTGGACTGAATTCTGTCCAGTCAGACCTCAGCCTGGAGAGCCGGGGTGGGGTGGGGGAACAAGGCTGGCAGCACAGGGAACATGTGTGGTGGGCTTAGCGGGCCACAGCAGAGTGGGGCCAGGCAGGGGTGGGGAGGGCAGCTGGACAGGCTCGCAGGGCCCCCAGGCATGAGGCAGGCCCATGGGAGCAGGAGGAGCAGTTGCAGGCAGACAAGGACAGGCAGAGACTTCCTCAGGCCCCCCGCAGGGGCAAGCAAGGCGCTCAGCCCAGGTCCAGGCACCCAGAAGCCTGCAGCCCACCAGGTGGCTGCCTGCTGCCCAGCCCAGGATGCAGAGGGAGCCGGAGAGAGCCTGAAGGTGGGATCTCCTGGACTGATAAAGATCAGAGGGAGCTCTGAGCAAGGGCAGGACAGGACAGGCTGGGCTGCCTGCTCCCCTCCCCCTGGTCCCCGGACTCTTCCCTGCAGCTTCTCCACTCTCCTCCGTCAGCATACCTGGTTCTGGAACTCCCCTCCAACCAGACTCCTCCCAGGAAAAATTGAGCCTTCTCCGTCCTGCCCCAACTCCTTGTACCAAGCTTCTATCTCCATATGGCACATCCATTGGTCACATGCCCTCCAAGAGGAGAGGTCAGTGAATATGTGTGTGTGAGTGTGTGTGTGTGAGAGTGCGTGTGAGTGTGTGTGTGTGTGTGAGAGTGCGTGTGAGTGTGTGTGTGTGCATGGTGTTCATGATCCTGATCTTCCAGGGGCTCTCTGAGGAGAAATCGCAGGTTTCATTGTGCACACTGACAATTAGATGCTTTTTAAAAATCTCATTGGCCTCTCCAGAGACAAATGATGAGTAAAAGTAATGTTTATCAAATCAGACCCAGGGTCAATATTTCCAGATCCCAAGCTATAAACCTAATGTCCAGACCTTGGTCTTCATTACTGTCCTCCACCAGACAGATGATGAATGGGCGGATAGAAGGATCAATAGATACATGGGTGAGGGATGGATGGATGAACGGGTGCATGGGTAGATGGATGGGGATAGCAGGAAGGGTATTAATGATATATTGAAGGGAGGAAAGGCTGGTCAGAGGGCACGCACATGATAAGGCCAATGAAGTAAAATTTAAAGAGCCGAACATAAGACAAAGGGTGTTCTTAGTTTCTTAGGATTCTTATCTTAACTTTCCTATAGGCAGCAATCATTTTCAAACACAGAATCAGAATGATGACTACCTGTCTTCTTTTCATCCCGACAGCTGTCCCGTGAGCTGGGAAACACGCAGCTTTGCTGCCGAAGGCTCGAAGGCTCTTCTGGCCCACTTCTGTCCTGGTGGCATCACTGACCAGGCACAAGTCGGCAACAGGAAGCCCCAGAAGCCGCAGCCCGCAGCTCTGGGTGAGGGGGTTCCAGGTCCTCAAAGCAGGACCTAACGCCAGTAGCCCTCGTGTCCCGACTGTGTCCTGTCCCCTGGACTTGGACTGGACTCCAATTCCCATGCCGCACCCACCCCAGCGTTCTGTTCAGGTTCTCTTGGGGGAGGGGAGTGTCCTCCTAACTCTGCACCTCACCCAGTGCACAATTTTTTTTTTTTCAGTTACTCCGATCTGGCCCCTCTGAGTTAAGAGGTAACAGCCTGCTCCACTCCCGCAGCTGAGTTTCTGGCACTTCGCGGAGGCCTGGGTTATTATTTTTCAAGTAGGGGCAGCTGGACCAGGGCCATGGCTGCAAGGACTGGGGTATTCGCAAGAACCCTGGCTGGGTCCCCGGAGAACGGAGGGAAGCGACCGGTACCTGGAGCACCCCCAGCTCCAAGCTAGAGGTGCTTCAGGGTGGAGATCCTGGGGGCTTGGGGAGGGCGGGAGGGAGCACGGGAGGGAGCCTGCACGGCGAGAGGGGGCTACCTGGAAGGACCAGGAGCGGGGCGGGGCCTCGGAGGAGGGGCCAGAGGGACGCTCCCACGGGCCCTGGGCGCTGGGCGCTGGGCGGGGAGTCCCCCCACCACGCGAGCAGCCAGCTGGGGAACGGCGTGGGGAGAGGCCGCGCAGAAGCGGAGGAAGGAGAAGGTGGCGCGGTCCCCGCAGTGGCGGGACCTGATGAGGGAGGGACGTGGGGAAGGAAGTCGGGAGAACGGGAGGGTCCTTAGGGGTGGGGCGCGGGGCGGGACGGTGGGCGCGGGAGGCGGGGCGGGAGGGCGGGGAGCCGCCCGGACCTGCGCCGCGGTCCGGACTGGGCGGCTGCTCTGCGCGTGCGAGCGGGGACCGGGCTCGGGTGCCCAGCGCCCGCTGCGCCCGGAGCGGGGATGGGCATGCGGCGGCCGGCGCTGCTGCCGCCCGCGCTGCTGACCTGCTGCGGCTGGCTCCTGGCCCCGGTGAGTGCGCCCCGCGCGCTCCCCGCCCAGAGCTGCGGCCGTCGGGCAGGCTCCCCTCCGGACCCGGGGCGCGGGGCTGGCGGGGCGCGGGCGCGGGGCTGGCGGGGCGGGGGGCGCCGGGCTCAGGGCACTGGCGCGGGTGGGGGGCGCAGGGCGCGGCGGGGGCGCGGGCGTGAGTTGGGGCGCGGGGCGCGGGCGGGGCGCAGGGTGCAGGGCGCGCGCGGGCGGGGCGCGGGGCTGCGAGCGCTGGGCTCCGGGCGGGCGCGGGGCGCGGAGTTGGCGGGACACTGAGCCGGCGGGGCTCGGGGCCGGCGGGTCACCTCGCGGCCTCTCGGCCTCTACCGTGAGAGGTCTGGGTCGCCTCTGCGCCTCCTGCCGCGTCCTGCGCGCTCGCGTGCGCGGGGCGCGGCGGCTAAGAAAGTTTCCTCGGAAACGTTCCGCTCCGGCTGTTTTGTCGTGGCTTAAAGCACCGAAAGAAAGGAGAGCATGGGCTTGTTATTTACAATTAACGAATTGCTCTTTTTTTGAAGACCTTTAACAAAGGACTTGCCACCTGGGTTTCTGCTGTGCCCCAGGACTGGAAACGAGTTTACGCACAAACAGTTCGAGGCTCTGGAGCCATTGCTGATTCCTGTCCCTTCGTGGGTGCCTTAGTTGCGCCCACCTCCCCTCCCTGCCCCACTGTCAGACCCCCTGGTTTCCTAGGGGGCACCAGCCTTTCCTTCCCGGGTGCTGTGGGATGCGCCCTTGCTGTGAGATCCGGGTTCTCGCTGCTGGGGCCACTAGTGCTGTTCCAGCATCAATTCAGGGCCCAGAGTGCCCATTCTGAGACCCCTTGCCACTAGGAACTTGGCTTCTTTTTAAGAGCTCTTTTGTGGACAATTGCTGTCTGCGATTCCTTGGATGTCCTGGTATTGCAAGATACCAGGATTGTGGTGAATCTTAATACCGTAATAGAGGTCTTCCCTTTTTGAGCCAGTGTCATGTCCCTAGTCCTGGAATCAAACCCACTGACTTGCTCATCTGGGAGAGCCAACCTGCTAGGAACCAGCAACTTTGAGCTTTCTTAGAATGAGAACTGGTGTCCAAAGCAATCACGTGTCCCTCCTCTTTGTACCTCAGTAGGGCAAGTGGACCCTGGTCAGAACTGGGCTGGACCTATTGCAGCAGTAAGGTAGTTGCAGGCAGAGGGCCCCAGTACATCCGGAGGACGATCGTCTTTAGTAAATGACAGGCAAGGAGACAGTGCAAGTGGAATGAAGAGGGCTTGGCCTGTGTAAACCAGACCTCGAACATGGTCTTCAGAAATGCCGAGTGCTTCTGGACAGCCTGCCCTTCGCTGGCCCTCGCTGCTTAGAGGGCCTCAGCGTGATTCCTGTCCCCTCTTTGTGGCCCCTCTCAAATTTGTCAGAAGCTCCTTCACACTCAGTTCAAAACTAGAGCTTCAGTTGTGAGTCTCAGCCTCTGACATGGAGTGAGCATGGGACCCGTGGTTGGTGGGTCTGGGGGAGTAATTTCTCATGGAGCTAGACTGGAATTGTGAGCCACATGTGACAAAGAGCTTTAGTGCCACCTAATCAGTGCCAGCTCCACCAGCACAATGTCCATAGTAAGTTTGCTTTCCTGCTGAGAAAAACAGATATGTTTGTTCTACTAAGATTTATGTTTGTTTAGTAATTCCTAGTGAAACTTTTGGGAAATCGCCATGCTAGGGACGCGAGGGGGACTGGGATGAGTCATCTTGAAGCACTTTAGACCTGGGCGTTTTCAATGTGGGGGCATAGAGCTTTGCTTGACTTACCTCTTATGATTTAATTTTTAGTCACTTCTGTTTCTTTTTACCTTGGCCAGGTGAGCAGTGTTCATCCAGAATGCCGGTTTCACCTGGAAATACAGGAAGAAGAAACAAAATGCACAGAGCTTCTGAGGGCTCAGGCAGCACAGCCCAAAGGTAAGGGAATACGTGCAGGTTGGGGCTTTGGGGTGGGCCACACACACCTTCCCGCACAGTGGAAGCTTGTTTCTGCGCAGTAAGCTGCTGCCAGACTCACCTGTGAGGACTGAGGTGGTTGATATAAGTTGCTGAAACAACAAAACTACTTCACTGAAGTGTTATTTCACTAAAATTTTGTTACTTTAGTTGCCCATTTTCCAGGGTTGAGTTCCTCAAGTTAAATTCTTAGTTTCATCCAGGATGATTTGAGGCAGTTAAAACTGAGGAAACCGGCAGGAGGTGGGTACAGTGTGCTTACACTGGCAGTTCCAGACCCTTGGCCAGCACAGTCGGGACACGGGTGCCGTCCCCATCCACAGGTCTATAGAGCAGAAGGCTGGGGTGACACCAGTCTAGACAGGAAGCAAGATCTTTTGCTTTTTCTCTGCTCTGTGCTACTGTTACTTCCTCTTCAAGAAAAAAAAGGATGACTGTGTGCTAAATAGTCTGGTACCTGCATAGGGTCTCAGACCAGAGATCCTGCACCTGACCGCTGCCCAGCACCAAGTGCAAGACACATAGGTCACTCCATTGTCCAGTTGCCACATTAAAATGAAATAAATGGAAGATACACTTTTTCTTTAATGAAAAGTCTCATTTTTGTTAGTTTATTTAAACACCATGGTTTACAAAATTGATCATTGTTTCTGGCATTCAGTGTTCCAACCCTAATCTCGCTACCAGTGTGACTCTCCCTCCACCATTGTCCCCAGTTTCCCACCAACCCCCAACTCTGCCCCCTTAGCAGGCACAAGATAATTTATTTTATAATGCTTGGTACAACAAAATGGCTAATTGAATTATCAAAAAATACTTCAGTAGAAGAAAGTCTCTGAAAATTGTCATACCCCTCATTGTTGCTAGTTGAGCCTTCTGAGTCATCATTTTTGTCTGTTGAGCTTAGTTGGCCCCATGCCACTTTTGATTTGTGTGCCCCTATTGGGCTGTCAGTACTTTGGAACCTGGAGGTGTCCCGGGACTCCAGCATCCTTAGAACTGGTCCAATAAGCTTCAGTGGCTTGGCTTGGCTCATACCTCCTCGGAGACTCCTGGTGAGGCTGTGGAACTGGGCTGGTGCTTACATGGCTGCAGCTGTAGGATGTGGCTGTCGTTTCTGTGGCTTCCGGCAGTACAGGGTGAGGGTGGGAGGAGGCTGCCTGGCCCCACTCCAAGACCACAGAGTTCTCAGCCCAAAACTCGGTATACCTGGACTGTTCTTGGTTTGGCGTTTCTGCAGAAGTAAGTTGTGAAGTAGCGAAGTTGAGTTGTTTGCATAGTTATCATGGTGGCACCTGTGGGGTGGGGGCGTGGCTGCCAGGGACTTCACCTGCCCCCTCTCAAGAGTGCCCCAGAGGGGCTGGAGCTATAGCACAGTGGGTAGGGCGTTTGCCTTGCACGCGGCAGGCCCAGGTTCGATTCCCAGCATCCCATATGGTCCCTGGAGCACCGCCAGGAGTAATTCCTGAGTACAGAGCCAGGAGTAACCCCTGTGCATTGCCGGGTGTGACCCAAAAAAAGCAAAAAAAAGAGTGCTCCAGAGTTTTCAGCCCGAAGACTTCGGTGCCATGGGTTTTCGTGGCTTGACTTGCATCTCTTTTGAGATTCGTGGTGAAGCTGTGGAGCTGGGATGGTGCTTCCACGGCACAGCTTTTGGCTTCCTCTGGTCCTGCTTCCACTGCAGAACCTCCTCCTTCAGTATCACAGTGAACTTCGGTGGACAGTCCAAGTCAGAAATGTGAGATGATGACTTGGAAGCCAGCCTTACCTGCTGGGGGAAAAGGCAGCTGGGATGGAGAAGGGACCACTAAGTGAATGATGGCTGAAGGGCTCACTCGTGATGGGAGATGCTTGCTGAAAGTAGACTATGAGCCAAATATGATGGCTGCTTAGTACCTGTATTGCAAATCTTAATACCCAAAAGGAGAGAGAAAGAGGGAATGTGCCTGCCACAGAGGCAGGGGATGGGAAGAGGTGGAGATGGCGGAGGGATACTGGAAACATTGGTGGTGGAGAACGGGCACTGATAGTGGGATGGGTACTTGAACATTGTATGATTGAAATGTTATCATAAAAGTTTGTAAGTCTATAACTGTATCTCACAGTTTCATGTGAGGAGTAGATTTATTTTAATGTGATTCATTAAAATAAAATTTAAAAATAAATGTGAGGTGAATTTTAACAGTGTACTTTGTCCAGATTACATCCACGTCATCATCATTTCAACTCATAATGAGTAGAAGATATTATGAGGACATTTTTGTATCACATTTTGTCTTACAACCCAGGTGTGACTTGCACTTGGAACGGGCCACTGTGCTCCAAGTGCTCACATAGCTGGTCGCATCCACGTGGACGTGGAACTAATGCTGATGTGGACTCAGCCCCCCCCACCACTGAAATGTGAGGTTTTAGGTCAGATTCTGCCAGTTTGGGGAACCTTCGGGGTCCAGGCCCTTCAGAGTCCATGTGGCCCTAAGGCATCATTTTCTGACCCCTGTTCTCAAGTGGGGTCCAGAGAAGGGCCAGTGAAGCTCTGGCAGCACGGCAAAGCTGGCCATCACCCAGCTCCGACATATGGGCAGGGGAGACCTGAGTCCCGTCACCAGGGTCACATGGCAAGGGGAAGATGCAGGACACTGAGGTGCATCTCCTCAGCGAGTATGAAGAGGCGAACAAGAGGAGATACTGAGAGGAGCTGTAGAGCCACTGGAACCTTCTAGCCTGTGGTACAGAGGGAGTGGGAGACTGCTGTGAGCCCAGGCCCTTTGAGTTTGAGTTTGTGGTGCAAACTCAGGGACTCAGCCACTCTCTGCCAGGGCTGCCTCAGAGCAGGGGGTGTCTGCCAGCCTTGAGAGGCACCTGTGGGCCGTGCTGTGCTCCTGAGCCCAGGCTGCACGCACTGCTGTTTTGTGTATGCAGACATGACATGGCAGCTGGCACAGGGAGCAGATGACCCTGGGCAGCACATTCCTGCTGACAGGGTCCCCACAGGCACCCTCCCTCACACACCTGGACACCCCTGAGGTGCTCTCCCTCTCTCGAGCTCCCATGAGGCTATTTGTCAAGAACCTCCTGTGAACAAACATGCAGAGCAGGTGGAGTCCACTGGGGAGCAGGCCCAAGGGGGGTGAGGGGAGCCTCACACGCAGTGTGGTCCCCACCCAGGTTCCTTAAGCATGACCTTGTCAGTGACGTGTGTCCCTTTCACTTGTCTCTGTCCAGAGGCACAGGCTCAGCCCCTCCTGGCCAAGTGTCTGCACGCAGTGGGGCTGATGGTCATGTGATGGGGGGTGGGGGGGGGACTTCCATGGTCTCCCTGAAAAATGCTGCTCCAAGTTGTCCAACTTCCTATTTTGAGAGAATGTCAGAAATATAAACTTAACATATTTCAATTTCTTAGAAGTTTACAACTATCACTTAAAAACAAGTTTCTGAGGGAATTCTCTCACCTCCAGTATGCCAGGCCCTCCAAAAGAACGTGGTGAGGAGCATCTACTGATTGAGAGTACAGAATCCCAAGGTGAGCACAGGACTCTATAGTGACCCCAAAGTGAGTGCAGAACCCCAGAGTGAGTGCAGAACCTGAGTAAACACAGAACCCAAAGTGAGCACAGAACCCAAAGTGAACACAGAACCCCAAAGTGAGCGCAGAACCCCAAAGTGAGCTCAGAACCCCAAAGTGAGCGCAGAACCCAAAGTGAGCTTAGATCCCCAAAGTGAGCTCAGAACCCCAAAGTGCGCGCAGAACCCCAAAGTGAGCTCAGAACCCCAAAGTGAGCACAGAACCCAAAGTGAGCTTAGATCCCCAAAGTGAGCTCAGAACCTCAAAGTGAGCGCAGAACCCCAAAGTGAACGCAGAACCCCAAAGTGAGCTCAGAACCCCAAAGTGAGCTCAGAACCCCAAAGTGAGCGCAGAACCCCAAAGTGAGCTCAGAACCCCAAAGTGAACTTAGATCTCCAAAGTGAACTCAGAACCCCGATGGCTCCTCCTCCCCTCTCCAGAAGCAGTCTGTGTGCTGCCCCTGTGATGGTGCTCAACACTGGGTGACAGAGACACTGGTGAGGGGCCTGCTACAGGGGAAGGTATGGTGGGGAGCAGGTGTGATGTGTGGGAGCAGGTGGAGGGCAGGTGTGGAGGAGGTAGATATGGAGGGTGGGCTGTGGGGGAAAGGTTTGGGGAGGGTAGGTGTGGGGATTAGGAGTGCGGGTTTTGTTTGTGGAGGGAGGTGGGAGGGCAGGTGTGGGGGAGGTAGGTGTAGGGGGACAGGTATGTGTGAGGACAGGTGTGTGTGCGGGCAGGTGTGTGTATGGGTAGGTGTAGAGGGTAGGTTTGGGGGGTAGTTGTGTCTAGAAGTAGATGTGTGAGGGCAGTTGGGCAAGTGTAGTATGTAGAGATAGGTGTGTGTGTGAGGGCAGGTAGGTGTGTGTGAGGGCAGATGTGTGTGTGGGTAGGTGTGTGGGACAGTTGTGTGAGGGTAGGAGTGTGTGTGGGTAGGTGTGGGGGACAGGTGTGTGTGAGGGCAGGTGTGTGAGAGGGCAGGTGTGTGTGGGTAGGTATGTGTGAGGGCAGGAGTGTGTTGGGGTAGCTGTGTGGGACAGGTGTGTGTGAGGGCAGGTGTGTGTGAGGGCTGGTAGGTGTGTGTGAGGGCAAGTGTGTGTGAGGGCAGGTGTGTATGAGGGAAGGTTTGTGTGAGGGCAGGTGTGTGTGGGTAGGTGTGTGGGACAGGTGTGTGTGAGGGCAGGAGTGTGTGGGGGTAGGTGTGTGGGACAGGTGTGTGTGAGGGGTAGGTGTGTGTGAGGGAAGGTAAGTGTGAGTAGGTGTGTGTGAGGGCAGGTGTGTGTGAGGGCAGGTGTGTGTGGGGGTAGGTGTGTGTGGATAGGTGTGTGTGAGGGCAGGTGTGTGTGAGTAGGTGTGTGTGAGGGCAGGTGTGTGTGGGGGTAGGTGTGTGTGGATAGGT